GGTTCGAATCCCGTTGAAGCCCTGATTTTTTTTCAGGCTTCTTCTTTCCAGTTGCTTAAATTGGAAAATTAAATGCGATAATCATTCTTCACTTTCAGCAAACGAATGTGTTTGTTTTTGTTGCTGTTGTTGTTGTTGTTGTTGTTGTTGTTGTTGTTGATTTTGAATAATAGGCTCTTGCAACTGTTCTTCGTAAAGACAAGGGAGGATTAAAGTAATATAGGCCTTCCGCCTCGGTTTATTTTTAGAAATAATACTCCGTTCCCCCGTGTAAAAACTGCTTGGCCTGTCCACGTGAGCAAAATTCCTGAGATTCCCAAAATCGGGTATGATCAAAAAATAACTTGAAAGGAATTATATTAGGCCTACATGGGACTTTCCTCCCTTTTCCTTTATCCTCTCTTGGTGAATATTACTTCTTTTTCGTTGATGCCATGTTCGTGAGCCCATGAGCTAATTGATTAAACTCCTAACAGCTTCGTAGCTTAGATGTTAGAGCTTTAATTTGCGGTGTGAATTGTTCACTAGAAGATTTTAGAAAATAAACTCCTAAAACAGTGATCCTTTCATGTAGACTGTATTGTTAAATCTAGTCATTTAATTTACCAAGTTACGTCATGTGTGCATGTAGTTTCAGAATAATCTTTTTTTTTTTTCCATCCCAGGTCCTGTCCATTTCTTATTACTGGCAACGAAAGAGGATTTACGGCGCATATCGCTCGACACACCTGATCTCACTAATGTAGTTGTACCAGTTTCTGGTATTAGGCATGCCGTTGCCATCGATTTTGATCCCGTCGATAAATTTGTTTATTGGAGTGATGATGAGAAACTTGAAATAAAAAGATGTCGAATGAATGGACAAGGTAAACTGTGGTGGTTGTGTTGTGCACGTGTAACCTTTTTGCTGCCTACCCTTACGTTATTAAGGGTAATCCATACCAGTAACTATTCTACCATTGCCTCAATAAGTGAGAAAGGTAAAGTCTACGCACGAGCTAAGTGGCCCATCAGGCCGGCGCTTATCACCGGCTTCTGTAGCATGAAGCGACTAGGAGTATTTCTACTCCCCCTTGGATGGGATGCTAGTCCATTGCAAGGCTACCCCCACCATTAAATTCGCCGGTACCCATTTATACACCTGGGTGGAAAGAGGCACGGTGAGAGTAAAGTGTCTTGCCCAAGAACACAACACAATGTCCCCAGCCAGGGCTCGAACCCGGACTGCTCGAACCGCAATCGAACGCACTCACCATGAGGCCACTGCACCTCTCACTTAGGTTCACGTTTCACGTTTCACGTTTCACGTTTCACGTTTCTCCTATTTGTTTTGGCCAATTGCAGGGCCTGGGTTTAGAAAATGATCTTAAGGCGGTCCAACTCGTTCTGAGCAAACTAGACATGGAATCCAGCGATCCTACTTCCATCCATGTTTATAAATGAATACCAGTGAAGTTAACGCTTGGGTAAATAAATCACAACGCGTCAGTTTCCTTTACTTCTCTAAATCATGTTTTGTATAAATTATAAAACACACATCTATTGACTACCTAGTAGATAAACGTTTACGTGTCTGGATCACGGAATCTGGATCGTCTTGGACTAGAGGCCTGTCTGGTTAACAATTCATTTCGCCATGTACTTGTTTAGACGCTGAGGTGATAGTTTCAAGTGACGTTCAACATCCTGATGGTGTCGCAGTTGACTGGGTCGCACGGAACTTGTACTGGACAGACACGGGCACTGATAGAATTGAAGTCAGCAGGCTGAATGGTTCATCGAGAAAAGTCCTCATCAGTGAAAATCTTGATGAACCTCGAGCGATAGCACTGGATCCAACTCGTGGGTAAATATGCAGAGTTTTCTGCAATCATGTGTATATATTAGTCGTCCGAAAGATGTAACCGTCTAGACGTAAAGCATATATGGTAACGGAACCAGGAGGTAATTACTTGGTCACTAATTCTATATTAAAATACGAATAGTAATGCTAATAAAGAATTCCGTCTGCAAGATTATAAAGGGCAACAAAAGGCAGAAATTCGAAGTTTAGTTATAGAGCAAAGAGAGGTTACAAGCCGTCCCACTGCTCTTGTGTCCCGTAAGGTGTCCTTAGCTTTGACGAGTAGAAACTTCAGCTGTAATCGACTTGAGAATTGTGTCTTCCCAGATACATGTACTGGACTGACTGGGGAAAGCATCCGAAGATTGAACGAGCAGCCCTGGATGGGAGTCACCGCATCACCTTGGTCGATACGTCTGTTGCGTGGCCAAATGGTCTTACCATTGATTATCTCTCTCGTAAGATCTACTGGGCTGATGCCAAGCTGGACAAGATTGAGGTCATGAATTTTCATGGGAGAAATCGTAGAATAATTCTGGATGAACGTGTGCACATATCTTTAGTTTAACTGTTCTTGGTAACCGCCTATATTGGACAGACTGGCAGACAAAGGCTATAGAGAGTGTGAACAAAAGAACCCGAAACGACAGACAAACAGTCATTGACAGCTTGCCTGATATGATGGGACTGAAAGCGGTCAACCTTGGTCGTAGTTGTGGTGAGAAATGAATAATGCATTTGAAAAGCAATATCTTAATATCGTCAAACATGAACAGCAATTCTAGGCAAACATGTACTCATCTGATTTGCGTATTCCTTTGACTTGTAGGTTCTAACGACTGCCAGGGCAGCAATGGAGGTTGTAGTCATCTATGTTTATTCAGGCCTGTAGGAGCTAAATGCGCATGTCCAGCAGGGATGAAGCTGCTTACTGACAAGAAAACTTGTATGCGTAAGTACTTCTTAATTTCCAATAAAATGCTCATCAGCATCATCATAAAGCTTGTGAACGGTTTGGTGCCCGGAAGTAAGAAGTGTTTTGAGTAGCATAAGGACTTTCAGATAAACGAGCTTAGACTCTTACGCTTCTTTCGTACCCTCCAAACGTCCCACTTGAGTGATCCCCACTCGATGATACCATCATCGGAATTCAGGCACAACAACCTATAATTAGGGCTTAAGCTCTGTTGGTTTGCTCGTATTTCAATTGTACTCTAAGTTTGTAAACGAACATATCGTGTGAACGATTCGTAGCAATTTTAATTGCTGCATGCTCAGATGCATGTGTCAGTTTTGTAAAGTAAATGTGTATCGTTGACGTGAATGAATGTGAGTTATTAGCCAGGCCCAGAGTAGCTAAGACGACAATCGTTTTGTGATAGTTCTATCCTAACATACGTTTTTCATCCCAGAGCCTGCAGTTGACGGTGGATACACTGCGTGGAGTGAATGGGGAGCTTGTTCCACTACATGCAACCCGGGTATTCGAATAAAAACTCGCACTTGCACCAATCCGCCCCCAGGAAATGGCGGCAAGAACTGCCGCAGATTTGGATCTCCTAGAAAGTTCAGGATATGCAACAAGAAACCGCATCAGAGATGCACACGTGAATGAAGTTAACAAACTCTTTCTTTTTAGTAATGATAGTATTAATTGAGTATGCCTAGACCTGCCTATACTGCAGTCAGGGACATGCTTATCGATAGAACAGTCCTGTTGACACAATAATTGGAGAGAAGAAGGTATTAAAGATGAACTTTACCTTTACAATAATGGCAATGCCATTATTATTTTTGATTTCAAAATTTTTAAACTTTTACATTTTTAAAAGTTCTCTTCAAATTAGCAGCCAACAGGTAAAGTTTGAAAGAAAATCTATTGTCAGTTCAATTTCCATGGAATTACCTTAAACAGCATGCTGACTCCACGGATCACAACATCTACCCACGAGACGCCCAGATCCTCAAACGTGGTGTTAACAACTACCACAAGAGGCTTTTCCTGGAGTCATGGCAGTCAGCTTTGGACAGCATCGCTGTCAACGAGAGGAAACCGCTCCCTCTTGCTTACTTGCCGTTGATTAAAAAAAACTCAATTTAACGACAGCAAGCGCAGAGTTGTAGCGCGAACAATAATGAACTTTTATACTGCAACGTTGATGAAGGTGGACAGATGGCACCGAAAATTTAGTGAAGAAAAATCATAAATCGGATTAAGAAAAAAAAAAGGACGTTTAAGAGAAAATCATGTTTATCCTAAGTTCTTTAAGCCTGATTCTCACGTGCATTGACAAAAGCTCGAGCACAAGTACAAGCACAAGCAAGAGAATCCGCTTACATGAGACGGAGTAAGATAAGTAAACAATCGTCCGACATCTTGAAGCTGTCGGCACCAGATCTCCTCGGATGCTACCGCGTTTGCGTTTGTCTTGTTTGCTTATTTCACGAGTGCGGACTCACGCTCGTGCTTGTCACAAAAAGTGAGAAGCAGACTAGTGAGTTCTTATGAATTTTGCTTTCTGGGGTTCAGTTTTTCTCTCCGTTGTTCAAATTATGAAGAGCATTGTTAAAGAAAATGTATACGGTAGACATATTTCGTAATAATTAGCAAGGTTTTGGTATTGTAGAGGAGAACACACAGGACAGGTTTTATTGTGAGCAAAAACATTTTTTTAACTTGCAGGATGAGATTGTCTGCAAAAGAAAGACATGGGAGACTAAAGAAAAGGACAAGAAAAATTGCTAGATGAAGGACTAAAATTTTCATTCTTAAACTTTAATATCGCTTTAAAAGATTTTCGATTGTTTGTTTATTCATTTGTTTATTTGTTTGTTTGCTTGTTTATATTTTAATCTGGTTGGTGTGACTCGTCATATATATAGTTTGGTTTTTAACATCATTTAATTTTCTCAAGTATTGATCATAACACTGATGGCCTCTAGCTTTGCCTGAGACGTATCATGTTCTAATTGATCGAGACAGCAACAACACCAATAGTTTATTGACACTCCCCTGATGGGGCTTTTCAGTGACAATACAGCAAAACTAAACTAATTAAGCTAAAAGAAATGGTTTACATTTCAATTAAAAGGGAAAGAATGCGATAAACATTAAACAATAATCGTATAACATACAATTACAGGCAGCTAGTACTCTAATTTTTACTTTTAATATTTTCATTGAAATTGTAATTTTTTACTTTAGCAAGAGTGAGTACAAATAAAGATTGATTATTACTATTATTATTATTATTATTATTAATTCATCATGCAACAAATTCTAAGATGTAGCGACATACCTATATCGCTTTAAAAGATTTTCGATTGATTTTTATTCATTTGTTTATTTGTTTGTTTGCTTGTTTATATTTTGGTTTGTATCATTGCAGTTGTTTCTTTTACTTAGTCTTCCGTCGCATTTCTAATAACCTTGAATTTTCGTCCAAAAAAAACCAAACTCTTTTAGTTCTTTTAGAATCTGGGTTTGAATGACTTTTTTGTCATGTTAAAGAGATGAATATATGGGACTATATAATTAGACCTTAAGATTCACGTTCACCGCAAACGTCTAACCATAGTTTGAAGTTAGACGTTTGCCGCTCGCCGTTCGGACGTTAGTCGATTTAGATTGGAGTAAATTGGTGCAAATAGAAATCATCCTGTCAATGCATTGGAAATTGTTAAACTTACGCCAAAAAAAAAATAGAAAAAGATGCCACGCTTTCCAACATGAGTAGCTTTCTAGAGAAATCAAGCGTCATAGACCACACGTTCAACTTTCGAAGGCCGACAAGTTGCCAGTGGATACGGAGCCAGTTGCTCGTGACAACAACACGATTTTTACGTTAAACCTTGGTGACCAAAACTTTCGTCCCGCCTTCCTCAACTGATAATCGTAATAAAAAAGTTTAAATAGTTAATATTACAACCAGAGGCTTCGCTAGATATGCATCGCGCGAAATTCGATCAAAGAACGTACGCGTGGTGCGAACTGGAGCATGACGGCGAATCCATGTTCTGTTCGCCTCTATCGATCACATTCGCGGACCTTCGCTCCGTCCGGTCCAAATTTGATTCGCCGTATCGAGCGAATGGCTTCATAAACCACGAGAGTTCATCCCAAGTGATTCCTATCCGCCATTCAAAGCTGACATTACAGAAGTTTATATTTCTGATCTGTCTTATACAAATGCCGAGTTCGTGGATCCATTGTGTTCATCGTGGTTTCAATCTGGGAGAAAGAAAGACAGTTATTGTTGCTACTCTGTTCGAAATAGCTTGAAAAGAGTTAAAAAAGAAAGATCCTGGATGCCGATAAAATAAAAAATTTCAAGCGATCAAAGCTCGAGATTTTTTTGGCGGAGACAAGCGACAAACGAAAATACTTCTGCGTTCGCAAGCTAAGTGATACGCGGCTTTTTGTGAGCAAAATTGCCAAACAGAACAAATGGGTCACACTTGAAAAATTGGATAATGCTTAAAAAAGGGGGCTTCAAACTTGCAAAAAAGGGTCACACTTGGAAAAATGGGTCACATTTAGAAAAAAGGGTCACACTTGGAAAAATAGGTAACACTTGGAAAATTGGGTCACGCATAGAAAACTGGATCACACTTGAAAAACTAGGTGACACTTGGAAAAATAGGGCACATTTAAAAAAGTGGGTCACGCTTAAACAAATAGGTAACACTTGAAAAAGTGGGACATACTTAGAAAAAGGCGTCGCATTTGGAAAAATGGGTCAAACTTACAAAAGTGGGACACACTTGAATAAAAGGGTCAACCTTGAGAAAATGGGCCATACTTGGAAAAATGGGTCACATTTGGGAAAATGGCTCAGATTTGCACATATAGGTAACACTTGGAAAAATGTGTCATACTTGGAAAACTGGGTCACATTTGGAAAAATGGGTCACCCTTAGAAGAGTGGGTCACTCTTAGAAAAATGGGTTTCACTTGAATAAAAGGCTCAACCTTGGAAAAATGGGTCACACTTGGAAAATAAGTCACACTTGGAAAAATAGGTCACACTTGAAAAAATGGAGCATGCTTGAAGAAAAGGGTTCAAACTTGCAAAACTAGGTCACACTTGGAAAAAAATGGGTACCACTTGGAAAAATTGGTCACATTTGGAAAAAGGATCACATTTAAAAAATAGATAACACTTGGAAAAATGGGTCACACTTTGAAAAGTGGGTCACACTTAAAGAAACTGGGTCACACTTGGAAAAATTGGTCACACTTAGAAAAAATGGTCACACTTGGAAAAAATGGGTCACGCTTGGAATTATAGGTCACACTTACAAATATTGGTCACACTTAGAAAAGTGGGTCACACTTGGACAAAATGATCACACTTTGAAAGACGTCACACGTGGAGAAATGGGTCACACTTGGAAGAAAGGGTGACACTTGAAACAATGGGTAACACTTCAAAATATTTGACATTTGAAAAAATAACTATAACTTGGAAAAATATGTTACACTTAGAAAAATGGGTGATACTCAAAACAAAAGGTGACACTTAGAGAAATGGGTCTTATTTGAAAAGATGGGTCACACTAAGAAAAGTGACTCACTCTGAGAAAAATGGGTCGCACTTAAATAAAAGAGTCCCCCTTAGAAAAAGTGCTCACACTTGAAAATATAGGTTACACTTGGAAAAATAGGTCACTCTTGGACAAAAAGGGGTCACCCTTGCAAAGAAAGGTTAAACTTCGAAAAATGAGTCACACTTGAAAAGAGAGTCACACTTGTAAAAATGGGTTAGAACTGATAAAAGTGAGACACTTGGAAAAAAGCTTCACACTTCGAAAAATGGGTCAAACTTGTAAAAATGGGTCACACTTGAAAAAATGGGACACGCTTACAAAAAAGGGTTACACTTGAAAACGTGGGTCGCGCTTGGAAAAATGGGTAACACATATAAAATTAGATCACCCTTAAAAAAGAGGGTCCCACCTATAAAAATTGGTCAAATTTGGAAAAATGCGTCACACTTGAAAAAATGCGTCACACTTGTAAAAATGGGTCACCCTTGGAAAAGCAGGTCACACTTTTAAAAATGGTTCAAACTTGGAAAAATGGATCACACTTTCAAAAACTGCTTAACTTAGAAAAATGGGTCACACTTGGAAAACTTAAGCACACTTGGAGAAATAGGTCTCAAATGGAAAAATGGGTCACACTTGTAAAAATGGGTCATTCTTGGAAAAAAGGGTCACCATTGTGAAAATGGGTCAAACTTGGAAAAATGGGTCACGCTTGAAAAATGCGTCACGTTTGGAAAAATGGGTCAACCTTTAAAAAAAATGGGTCACACTTTGAAAAATGGGTCACGCTTGAAAAAATGGGTCACACTTGGAAAAATGGGTCAACCTTGCAAAAATGGGTCATACTTGGAATAAAGAGTCACACTTGGAAAAATGATCACTCTTGGATAAATGGATTACACTTTGAAAAAAGGGTCACATTTGTAAAAATAGGTCACACTTGATAAAATGACTCAAACTTGGGAAAAAGAGGATACTACTTGGAAAAAGGGTCAAACTTTGAAAAAAGGGGGACTTGCTTGATAAAATGGGTCACATTTGGAAAAATGGGTCACAATTAGAAAATTGAGTCAGTTTTAGAAAAATGGGTCACAACTGAAAAAACGTTTCACACTAAAAAAAGGGTTGCACTTCGAAAGCGTCACACTTTAGAAAATGGGTCACATTTGGAGAAATGGGTCGCACTTAGAAAAGAGGGTCACATTTGGAGTAGTTTGTCAGACTTGGAAAAACGGGTCAAACTTAAACAAAGAGAGTGACGTTTGGAAAAAGGTCACGCCTTGACCAATGGGTCACACTTGAAATAAAGTGTCACACTTGGAAAAATGGGCAACACTTGGCAAAAAGGCTCACACTTATAAAAAGGTTTTAACGTCAAAAAATGGGTCACACTTGGAAAAATTGGTCAAACTAGGAAAAAAGAGACACTGGTTAAAATTTGTCAAACTTATTTAATTTAACACACTTGAAACGAAGGGTCACACTTTAAAAAATGGCTCAGTCTTGGTCAGACGTTAAAAAGTGGGACATTCGTGGAAAAACGAGTCACACTTGGAAAAAAGGGTAACGCCAGTAGAAATGAGTCACCTTGTAAAAATTGGAACACCGTTAGATAAAATAGTCACACTTGGAAAAATGGGTCATACTTGGAAAAAAGTCACACTTATAATAAGGCTTTAACTTCAAAAAATGGATCACACTTGTAACAATGGGTCACACTTGTAAAACTGGGTCACACTTGGAAAAATGGGTCAAACTTGTAAAAAAGCTCAAACTAGGAATAAACAGGGACAAATTTGGATATTAGGGTTAAACTTCGAGAAATGGGAAACACTTGGAAAAATAGCTCACACTTGTAACAATGGGTAAAACTTGGAAAAAAGGACAAATTTGGAAAAATGGGTCACACTTAGAAAAATGATCACCGTACGGAAAAAGGGTCACACTAGTAAAAATGGGTTAAATTTGGAAAAATGGGTCACAATTCCAAAAATGGGTCACACTAGGGAAAATGCGTCACACTTGGAAAAATGGGTCACACTTGGGAAAATGAGTCACACTTAAAAAAAATGGGTCATCGTTGTGAAAATGGGTCACATTTGGAAAAATGGGTCACACTTGGAAAAATGGGTCACACTTGGAAAAATGGGTCACACTTGGGAAAATCGATCAAACATGGAAAAATTGTTAACCCTTGGGAAAATGCGTCACCATTGTATAAAACGGTCATAGTTGAAAAAATGGATCACACTTGCAAAGATGGGTCACACTTTGAAAAATGTGTCACACTTGGAAAAATGGAACACGCTTGGAAAAAAGAGTCACACTTACAAAAGTGGGTCACACGTTAAAAAGATGGGTCACGCTTAAGAAAAGGTTACACTTAGAAAAATTGGTCACCCTGGGAAAAAATGGGTTACATTTGGAAAAATGGGTTACACTTGAGATAGCCGTCTATAGCATTTCTAACAACCTTGAATTTTCGTTAAAAGAAAA